ACCATAGCTTCTGCTTGGAAGAAGCTTTGGCCGGAGAGCGTTGTCGAATGTGACTTTGAGGGGTTCGAGACAGTACCTGTGGAACCTGTAGTCAACGAGATTGTGTCTTTGGCCTGTATCATGGTATTGGAGGTGGATAACAGTAATTTCGAAGAGCTTGTGGAAGAGCACAGCCAAGAGCTGACCACCGAAGAGCTTATGGAGTTGTATTGTGATTCACAGAAAGATGTTTTGGTGGAAAGTTTGTCAGTGGAGGAGGTAACAGAAAAGCAACAATCTTCTGGCGAAATAAGAGACATGCTGAAAGCTTGGGAAACTGTTGCATCTTACATTGAGAAGCATCACCCTAATAAGGAAGTGGCTATGCGCGCTGCAAATTTATATAATGATAATGCTGTGTCGCATTTTCGACAAATTTTGAAGCGTCAGCAAAAACAAATGTCTCCGGACAGCTTTCTAGTAAAAAATAATCAGGTATGTATAATAATTATTTATATTTTCTTTTCCCGCAAATCAAATTAGCATTCCAGGTGGGTTCGTTATGCGGTGAAAGAAACGATGAAGATGATTCACTCTCCTTAACAAAATGTCAATCATTTTATTTGAATAATCGTTATACATACCATTTTGTGATTATCTTTTAGACGGAAAGTATTATCGTATTATACATTAATTGATATGAGAAATTTTTTTTCGCATAACGAGTGTTTTGCTTTACAAGTATGAATCTGGAACCAATTATGCGAGGTTTGACTGTAGTTGAATGACATTTTTAAAACGCCGCAAACCACTGGCGCCCCTCAGCCAGCTTATTCGTTGCGATCGTGCACAGCTTACATAGCATCCCCACCCCATCCTTACTCTATAATTCGCTTTTCCATATGTTTTTGGGTCTACCTTTTATTCTTTTGGCTATGCGTGTCCATGTGCATGATATCTTTCTTGTATCATCATGTAGTTTTCTCAGTGTGTGTCGTATCCAAAGCCAGCATCTTTTCTTCACCTCTTAACTCACTGCAGTTTCATTCTGTGAATGAGTTACCATTACATGAGGAATTAAGAACAATTAAAGGCACCTACCCGTGCGTCTTGTATGTCGATATAGTTGATCCCTGCATGCTTACCAGCAATAAAAGCAGCCAAATTTGCAGTGTAGCTTGCAATGATGAAAATAGCTGCAAACGCCCAGATGTTCTGTAAGAACTTTGAAGGCCACGCTTTCGGAGATTTTGCTCTGACAGTGTGACCAAAAAGCACGGAAAAGACCATAGTCAACCCAGAGGCTAAAGAATAGTTCTTATTCCTTTTACGGCCCCACGGATTTAGCCCAAAAGGAGAGTTCCATTCCAGCAGAGCCATACACACTGCTGTGATATGAGCTGATACTAAGATAGCAAACCACACTTTGGTCGAAAAAGGTTCAAGGAATGCCAGCATACTTGTCTCTCGTGTTCTGTCTGAATAAATAATGGAAAATCCAGAGAAAAAGTAAGGATCGGTGAAATCTATGGCGACTTCTCTCTGACTGGTGATGGAAAAAGCAGCAACAGCGAAATGAGCTGTGTTGTCCGTTAGGTCTCTCATCATTCCGGACCAGGATCCGTTAGACGATTTCTGACCATACGTCTCATCCTGCACAATGTACAAGGTGAATTCGAACTCCAGATCCGAAGATAACTTAGTGAGAAGATCAATGGTCAGCCCCCTGCAGCACTGGATCGTGAAAAGCCCACTTTCAGCCCCTTCGCCGTTCTCGTAAGCATCAATGGCGCGCCAGACGACTTCCTGTGACTTGAATTTGTTGGTCAGGTTCAAACATGGCGTGTCACTGAGACACTGACCGTAGTCCGAATGAGGGGCTTCAGTCATCACGAAGGGTTGCACGGGGTTGGTTACCACCTTGTATCTCTTCTTTCCTTCCGTCTCGGCCTGCAATGTTAGAGAAAGGACATGATTAGTTAAGTATGCGGTAAAAGTAAAGTAAAGGACCCTTTTCCACGCCTTTAGGCGTATAGGGCATATAGGGCTAGACCTATATTTCATAGACCAACGGCACAAGATGGGTGATGTGGTCAGCATCACACCGGTCGCCTCTACTTCCCGGGACCGCACCCGGTACCTACTCAAGGCTGGGTCGACCTGGGAGCCAGGGTGAGTATGCGGGGATTCAATCAATGCTAGTTAGAGCAACACCCTGCTGCTTGCTATTCTTATAGCCAATGTCATGTATCCCTTCAGAAAATGGCGCGATGTCTGTTGTCGCAATATTGGTGGTGCCATTGTGTGATTAAAATTGATCGCGTGTGTAACTGCTGATCTGTTGGTGACTAATGCTACCATCCACGATGAACTACATTTCTAATGTTAGACTGTTTGTGTTGGCACTTCAGATGGCTCCCGTATGCTTTTAATGCGTGTGTATGCTAGATAGGCTGAGACAGCAGTCTGTCAATCTTTTCACAAGGGACTGTGATAAACATTCTTTGTGTTTTTTGTTGGTACAGGAGCGGAACAAATATGGGGTGACCCGTTTGCTATGAAGCTGAAACTAAGATTACCAAATTACCAGATATATCTTTCATGTCTGTCTCGGCCTGAAATGTCAGAAAAAAGGCATGATTAGTTTAGTATGCAATGATGCAAACATTTTAAGCTGGGTCTGTCTGTGGGCTAATGCCAATAATAAAACAAATCAGTATCGATGCGGAATCGAACCCAAGACATTCAGCATAAATCATTATCATCATCAATAGCAGGTCCTTAGCAGAACGTTGCTCTCATTGCGGTTAGCCGTAAAGAAATCCTGCCTCTGGCCAGCTTTCCTGCCTCGTGCACTTTTATATCCAAGTAGTCACTTATAATATGTGCCCATTTTCGTGTTGGTCGGCAGCTGCTCCTCTTTTCTGGGACCATACTTTCTGCTACTTTTTTTTTACTCAGCCTTCTTTTATGTTCAGATCTTTTAGAATACCAGTATTTCTTTTCTTGTTTGTCCACGGTATTATGAGAACCCTTCTAGAACATTTCAGCTCAAAAAAAATCATCATTTTTAAGGACCAGGAGATAGTTGACGACTCACATCCGTATGTTTCTACAAGGAAGCTTCATGCTTTCCAAATTGTAAGTTGATTTCTTGCTGGGGCTTAATCATAAACTGGTATTGCTGTTGACTCTTTGGTTTTATGATAAGTTTGTGTGTGATATTACTGTGGTAGTTTAAGCAGGAATAGATAAGCTTAAAAGGTGTTTAATTTTTGTCCTAAAAGAGTTTTGAAATTGTTCTTCAATGTAGTAGTGTCAAAGTAATTTTGGTTTTTGTGTGATGAACTGCTCAGGTCAGGTGTCAGACTACAGGAACGCCTGCCTATTCATCGGACTGAACTCATTCTTTCATGGTATGACAAGCAATCAACCATTCAAACTTCACACACTTAATGACCTTGCGAAAACCCCCAAACAGTTGCTTAGCCAATCAACCAGACAGCAAAGAAACCAAAGACTATGAAGCTAACCATCAAAGATACCAAAGATCATGATATAAGCTAGCAAAGAAACCAAAGACTATGAGAAAAACTAGCAAAGAAACCAAAGACTATGAAAAAAACTAGCAAAGAAACCAACGACCATAAGAAAAACTAGCAAAGAAACCATAGACTATGAGGAAACGCTAGCAAAGAAACCAAGGAAAAGCTATTAAGTAATCCAAGACTAAGTCATGAAAGAGTATGAGAAAAGCTAGCAAAGAAACCAAAGACTGTTAAGAAAAACTAGCGAACTAACGCAAGACTATGAGGAAAAACTAGCAACGTAAAAATATGAGTAAAAAACTAGCAAAATTACCAAAGACTATAAAAAATGTACAGTAACCAAAGACTATTTAAACAAAAACTAGCAAAATAACAAACAACTGTGAGGAAAAACTAGCGAAATAACCAACAACTGTGAGGAATGGCTAAAAAAAAAAAAACAAACAACTATAAGAAAACATTAGCAACTTAACCAAAAATTAAAAAAAAAAAAAAGCACAATAACGAAAAACTATGAGGGAAAAGTAGCACAATAACGAAAAACTATGAGTGAAAACTAGAACAATAACGAAAAAATATGAGTGAAAACTAGCACAATAATGAAAAACTGTGAATGGAAACACAGGCACAGTTAGCAAACACTATGAAGAAAACCTAGCAAAGAAACCTAGTGACTATGAGCAAAAACCAGCAACAACAACAACAAAAAAACAGCAACAGGAGTCTTGTTTGGTTTTATCTTGTTTCTAGGTTTACAGCAGTAGGTGTGAAGGAAAACAAACCTTACGTAACTTTGATGCTGGATGTGCGGAAAACAAATAATCAGTAACATATTTGCCAGACAGCCAAGGGGCGTAATCAATAACCACTATCTGACGGCTGGTACCTCCCGTGGCACACAATTCCAGCAGTGACAGGACTGTCTGCGCTAGTGAAGACATTTCCGGATAATGGAATATGGTCCCTCGTATCATAAGAGTCAAATCTAAGGACATCCCTGTGGACGTAATAGCTAGCACATCTTCCACTGGCGTATGATATAAGTATTTCTTTTTCTTTCTTTCTTTCTTTTTCTTTCTTTCTTTCTTTCTTTCTTTCTTTCTTTCTTTCTTTCTTTCTTTCTTTCTTTCTTTCTTTCTTTCTTTCTTTCTTTCTTTCTTTCTTTCTTTCTTTCTTTCTTTCTTTCTTTCTTTCTTTCTTTTTCTACTTCTACTGCTCCTAAAAAAGAAAAAGAATAATAATAAGACGAAGGAGGAGGACTCGTGCCATACCTTCAAGTTTTGGGCATCTCCTGGCCAGATGATACGAAAGGGCCTCACTTCTTTCCCCTGCACACATCCGATGTCCTGCCAGACACTCTGTCGACCATCATAGACCAGATTGCGGACTCTGAACTTGCTGATGTTCATAAAGCCATCTTCATCAAAGGCTATCTGGCCCGTCAGACCGTAAATACTTGTGGACAGCAAGGCACTGTGGATGAAAGAAGGGGGAATACTCATTGGCAGTGGGCGGGAATTTTAGCAGCTATATCTAGGATGCCGACACAAGGAAACCATAGTGGTGGGGGAAAATAAGGGAAGGGACGGAGAAAACAGGGGGACGAGTGAGGGGGGCGGGGGGGGGGGGGAAGGGTCATTTCCCTAACATGTTTTAAGTGGCGGCAGTGGGGGGATGGGAGTAATTCAGAGATCTAAACTGCCGTTACTGCATGTATCTTCTTCTTCTTGAAGTCCATGACATGTGACGTTGGTAGTCAGGCCTATTGACAAACTGTCTCATGTAGTTTAAATCAAGTCTGACATAGATGATCGCCCATGCCATGAAGTCAAACTGTCCAGCATCTGTTCTCTATGTCTCCCTAAGCCTCTCCTGTCCTCCAGTTTTCTTATTGTCACGATATACTCCAGCTTTATACTTCTCATCATATAACCAAAGAATGTAGAATGTCTCTTTCTCATATGGGCAGTTATCTTTGTAAGCCAGTTTCTTTCAAGACATCTTCATTACTCTTTTTATCATCTGTCCAGGGTATTCTTATCATGCGTCTATAAAACCACATCTCCACAGCTCCCAAACTTTTCTTTTCCACTCATCTACCAACTGTCCATGATTCACTTAGATATATCAAGATAGGATATATTAAGCTTTTAAGAATTCTCTTCCGTGTCCCAGTTAACAAAGAAAGATTATATAACTTTTTTTCTTTCTTTTAATATCTTTATATTTACCATTTTTGCTCTTTTAGCCCCTGATGGTTTATTTCCCCTAAGAAATTGAGCCACGTTTTTGTGCTTCCCATAGGAAACACAATTCACCAACTTACCGCGGATTCGAACCCAGGTCTCCCACATTCACAACCGTTCCGCCAGCCAGGGGTCTAAACTTTGTTTAACTGCTGAATAATTTTAATAATGGTTTGCCTGGCGCTTGAAGGTCCTCGGTTTGTTTCACCTCTGCCTCGTTCTGTTCAATAGTGCAGTTTTTACTGAGACCCCCCTGGGTATCGTCACCGAGGCTATGTTGTAAGTGTTTTGTGCAGTGCTCTCAGCTAGCCGTTCTATGGAGAGAGAGAGAGAGAGAGAGAGAGAGAGAGAGAGAGAGAGAGAGAGAGAGAGAGAGAGAGAGAGAGACCGAAGAAGAAGAAGAAGAAGAAGAAGAAGAAGAAGAAGAAGAAGAAGAAGAAGAAGAAGAAGAAGAAGAAGAAGAAGAAGAAGAAGAAGAAGAAGAAGAAGAAGAAGAAGAAGAAGAAAAAGAAGAAGAAGAAGAAGATGAAGAGGAAGAGGAAAAAGAAGAAGAGAAGAAGAAGAAAAAGAAGATGAAGAAGAAGAAGAAGAAGAAGAAGAAGAAGAAGAAGAAGAAGAAGAAGAAGAAGAAGAAGAAGAAGAAGAAGAAGAAGAAGAAGAAGAAGAAGAAGAAGAAGAAGAAGAAGAAGAAGAAGAAGAAGAAGAAGAAGAAGAAGAAGAAGAAGAAACAGAAGAAAGAGAAGAAGAAGAAGAAGAAGAAGAAGAAGAAGAAGAAGAATAAGAAAAAGAAGAAGAAGAAGAAGAAGAAGAAAAAAGAAGAAGAAGAAGAAGAAGAAGAAGAAGAAGAAGAAGAAGAAGAAGAAGAAGAAGAAGAAGAAGAAGAAGAAGAAGAAGAAGAAGAAGAAGAAGAAGAAGAAAGAAGAAGAAGAAGAAAGAAGAAGAAGAAGAGAAGAAGAAGAAAGAAGAAGAAGAAGAAGAAGAAGAAGAAGAAGAAGAAGAAGAAGAAGAAGAAGAAGAAGAAGAAGAAGAAGAAGAAGAAGAAGAAGAAGAAGAAGAAGGAGAAGAAGAAGAAGAAGAAGAAGAAGAAGAAGAAGAAGAAGAAGAAGAAGAAGAAGAAGAAGAAGAAGAAGGAGAAGAAGAAGAAGAAGAAATAATACCCCTGACAGCTACGTTGAAAAGACTATAATGAAACAAAGCAGAAAAAATCGGGCAATGATTTTACAAATGATGTGGTGATGACAACAAGACACATGATGACCGACTACACAGCGCGTTACTAGAGGCACATAAACTAAAAAATCTATATTACATCTCCCATCCTTTACCAGAACCGCACTCCAACTCCACCCCCCTCCCCCTCTCTTTTTTCCTCTTTTCCAAACACCTCACTCCCTACACTTCGTTTAGGTAACTGAGAGAAGAGAGAAAGAACTTTAACTCTCTGACCTCAATGACATTCAATGTTTTCTTTATTTTCAGCCCTCCTTTAGCTTTTCTCTTTAACTGATATTTCTACGCCCAGGACACAACAAGAAACTGGCAAGACTTGGATGGGGAGTCTCATTGATTGATTTAAGTGAGTAATTAAAATAACCGGCCTGCTAAATTGAAACTATGTCCCTAAAGCGCTCTCATAATTGTTGCTGTTGTTGTTGTAAATGCTCTAATATGGTGCATAAATAAATAATTATTTACAATTTGAGTGTTAAATGAATCCCTAGTCCCCTTTGAGCTCTATATTTCTTTCATCATTTTCTGGAGACGGTAATATACATTAATTATTAGAGCTACGAAAATTATTCTCAAAGAAATGTATACAAGAAGACAATAAGAATAAACAACTGAGACAAATATGAAAGAAATGGTATTGCGGGGAGAAAATAATAATAATAATAATGATAATAATAATAATAACAATAATAATAATGACAGCAATCAAAACTGAAAGAATGACGAATGTTAAATTAAGAATTGACATTACAGCACTCTGGTCACTCCCATATACGCTCCATCCCCATTTACAGCAACAAGCGAAGAGTTCTAATTCTGATGGCACCAGTAACTTTCTGATTATATAGACATCTGCCCTTTCCCTTCGGTATTAGTAAGCGTCACTACTAAATGAATGAAATAGGCAATTGCAGGCAGGATAGTGGAAAAGGCTGCTGGGTTGTTTCCGCAGGCATAGTCATCCCAGAATCTTTAAATAAATTGTTATTGTTTTTGCTGGTTGCTGTTTTGTTAACTGTAAACCCGTTTCGTTGATCAAATTTCTAGTTAGTTATAAGCTGATCATTTTGCTCAGACACGATATGGTAGATTTTCAAAGAAGGTTAGGGATTAGTGAGGACTATTATCGCGACAGTCCCTACAGATCCATGGATGCTGCGATCTCTTTAATAGCTCCTTACAATGTGCTTTGCTGGAGGATGAAATCAGCACGTTCAACTAGCAGCCCCGAAGGGTGCCTAATTATTTAGGTTATAATTGTGACCATGTTATGTGTGCTATACAAAATGGCCATTAGCATTGCACGCCACCAAGAGATCTGAAAAGGACTCCTGCAGTGTTAATGCGTTAGAAGGAGACAGACACAATAACTGACCTAACCGGCGACTAAACTGATTACCGGTGAGCCAACGAGTGACTCGGTCGCCAATGATTATGATTATCAAGGAAGAATTCAGCACTTATTACATGTGTTCTTGTATAGATCTCGTGTGTAAATTCCTTTGCAACAACAAACGAAAATAACTGCGGGTTCTCAGGTGACTGCGTGGTCTCGAGGCAAGGTGTCTGCCTCGAGCGATAGAGGTTCCGGGTTCAATCCCCGGTAAGGGGATCTGTTTACGTGGACTTGGACTTCTAGTAATTCCCCCTGGTCTCCGGGTAGTGAGATCGGAGCACTTTTGGGTTACCGCCCGTGTGCCATGATGTTAATTCTTTGTTCAAACTACAAACTACAAATTTGCGGGTTCTCCAACATTGGAGATAATTCTCAAGTCCAGTGAATACACTGTCACTAAAAATATTTTGAGGTCATTTTATGGACTAATTTAATCTAGTGCACAATTCTCTTGTTTGTGTATACTGATGACACATCCAGGTTCGTCTTTGATTTTCCACCTGGAAAGAGTCAACAAAACGATTATGGACGAGGAGATAGATCGTCGCGTCGATAGTGGTGATAATAATGATCAAGAAGAAGAAGAAGAAGAGGAGGAGGAAGAAGAAGAAGAGGAAAATGGAAATGGAAGGAAAAAGAGGAGGTGGAGGAGGAGAAGGAGGGCGAGGAAGGAATGGGAGGAGGAGGAAGGAAAAGAAGGAGGAAGGAGAAGAAGGAGGACAGAGAAGAAGGAGGAAAAACGAGCAAGAAGGAGGAGGAGGACGAAGAATGAGAAAGAAGGAGGAAGAAGGAGGAAAAATGAGGACGAGGGAGAAAAAAGGAGGTAGACGGAGGAAGACGGAGGAAGACGGAGGAAGAAGGAGAAATGTGGAGAAAGAAGGAGGAAGAAGGAGGAGCAAGAAGTAGGAAGGAGGAGAAAGGAGGAGGAGGAAGGAGACAGTGTCGATAGTGGTGGTGATGATAATGATTGATGTATTGCTAGTTGCATGCTTTTCGCGTCGTTCTGAGGCTTGCATAATAAAATGTCTTGAAACAGTTTTTCTTTTCAGTGTAATGTCTTTATTATAATATTTCAAAAATGCGATAAATAACATCAGTGACATTTGTTATGACAGCTGGTTCTCCCTAACGTTATACAGCTTGATGTCGCTTTGGGTTCTTCATCTTTGTTTACTTGTGACCTGATTCTGTTCTTGATGACTGGCATCTGGCTTCTAGTGCTGTCTGGTCTAACGGTTTAGTCTTCGGCTCTAACATCTTATTAATGTTTTTTTTTTTTTCTAATGCAGTGGCTCTCTTAGCCTTTCTGTTGTCGTGACCCTTTAATAGTTCCTTTATGTTGTGACGGAACACCCCCCCCCCCCCCCCCGCCTCGTAACAATTATTTTCCTTTCATTACTTCAATGAATATGTGTATTACTATGGTCTTATGCGACCCCTGTAAAAGAGTCGTTTGATCCGAAAAGATGTCGCGACCACGTCAAGAACCGTTGATCTAATGTGCCTCTATTGGACATGGATCCGCGTATATTTTGTCTGTTATCTCTGTCTTTCAATGTCTTGTCTGACGTCTCATAAGTAGTGTCTCATCTGTGAGGGTT